TGGTGCCGCAGGCAGAGGATTAACTTACTGTTCCATGGCGCCAGCCCCAGCTTAGAACTTTTAGCACCAACTTCCTAGCCTCTATGCAAGGAAGAGGGGCTGGAGACTATTTAAATAATTGATCGTGCCTATGTGATGAAGCCCACATATAAGTTCCAGAAGTACACATGCAGGGAGATTCTGGGCTGGTGGCCACAGGAGGGGACACTCAGAGAGATGCCATCCATCCACACTATGCATCTTTTCCTGTTCTATAAAAATATCTAGAAAATAAAAATAATAAAAATACTACATATCAAAACACATGGGTTATAGCTCAAGCAGGATAAAATTCAGAACCCAAAGTACTTATATAAAAAAAAATGGAAATGCACGGATTAAGTATCTACTGAATAACTTGGAAAAACAACAACCAGATAAAAACTAGAAGAGAAGCTACAGCATGGATGAAATTTGAGTACATTATGAAGAGTGGAAAAAGACCAACAAAAGGTCAAACAATGTGTGATTTCACTTGAGATACCTTGAGTAGTCAAATTCAGAGAGAGAGAGAGAATGGTGGTTGTCAGAAGCTGGGATGGTGGGAGGGTGGGAGGAGAGTGGTGTGAGTTTACTGAACACAAATTTGCAGTTTGGGAAGCTAAAAAATTCTGCAGATGTAAAGTGTTGATGGTTGAAAACAATGTGATTGCAGGTAATGCCATTGGACTTAAAAATGGTTAACATGGTAGGCTGTATGTTAGGTCTACTGATCATAATTAAAATATGTGGTAATTTGGCTGGCGCCATGGCTCACTAATCATCCGCCTGCAGCGCCGGCACCCCAGGTTCTAGTCCCGGTTGGGGCACCGGATTCTGTCCCAGTTGCTCCTCTTCCAGTCCAGCTCTCTGCTGTGGCCCAGGAGTGCAGTGGAGGATGGCCCAGTCCTTGGGCCCTGCACCCGCATGGGAGACCAAGAGGAAGCACCTAGCTCCTGGCTTCGGATCGGCACAGCGTGCCGGCTGTAGCGGCCATTTGGGAGGTGAACCAATGGAAGGAAGACCTTTCTCTCTGTCTCTCTCTCTCTGCCTGTCCAAAAAAAAAGTAGTAATTTAAAAAAGTAAAACAGAAGGACCAAAATATTACAAATAAGCCACTTAAGAGTGACAAAACTTAGCAGATTTTGTTGATGGACAGTACCTACCTACTAGAATGTGAGATCACAGAACTCCAGCTCAGGAAGGAAAAGGTTGTTAGTGGGAAAGAGGTAAATTCAGGAAAGATGGTAAAATCTTAAATGAGTCAGTGGAGAGACAGACAAGAAAGGGTGAAGATATGGCTGTCACTACTGATTTGCTGGTTTCATTCCGTGATTCCTGAAGTGGGACACTCTGACAGTTTCATGAAGACTGAATCTGCAGGCAGTACCTCCCAGGCACCAGACTTTGGAGCCCCATTCTCTACTGAAGAAACGCTGAGATATTAGGGGTTCAAACTCCTATGAAAATAAAATCAACAGCCAAAAGGAGTCAGGAGTGCTGAGGTCAGCTGAGGGAGTGGGGGTGGGGGTTGTGCCAGAAAGAAGGAAGTGAATCTTTGAAAGAAAGGGTTATTTTAACCAGAGGCTCTGGTCTTGTCCTCCACTGAGCACAGCCATGGCAAGTGCAGCGCTCACTGGTCTACCATGGCCATGATGTTCTGCCTCATGCACCCCACTGGTCTCCCACGCTGGGGCATGGCCATAGTTGTGGTTTGGACTACACTGCTTCTTGCTAATGCTGGGAAGGGCCAGGCTAGCTCAGTGGCCAACAGCATTTCACGGCCAGGTCTTCAAATTGATGAATGAGTCTAAGGGTCCAGAATCTAAAAATAGCAAACACATCAAACCTGTGGACATTCAAATCAAAAACACAGAAGGGCACATAACCAGAAACGAAAAAGAGGAGAAATAACCACAAAATAAATGACTGTATTGCAAAACTAGACAATTCTTAAAAATGGATACAATTAATTTTATTTTTAAAATATATCATGAAAATTAATTACAAAAGTGCTCACAAAGACCTGGCCTGCCTGATGGGAAAAATTCAGAAACATGGAGCTGGCTCAGATGGCCCACTTTTTGCACTGAAGTAGATGATGATTCTAAAACCAAGCACAGGTGTTCCTTGGTGTCTGTGGTGGATTAGTTCTAGGACCCCTGTAGATACCAAAATCCAGACATTCAAGTCCCTTACATAACATGGCACAGTACTGCATATAACCTCCTCACATCCTCTCATATGCAGTTAATCATCTCCAAATCACTCCAGCTAATATGATGTAAATACTATGTAAATCAGTATTATTCTGTATTGTTTAGGGAATAGTACTTGTACAAAGAAAAAATACAATATAAAAATTCAATGTAAATACTATGTAAATTATTGTAGGACTGCACTGTTTAGGGAATAATATTCATAATGAGAAGGAAAATCTGTGCATGCTCCGTACAGATGCATTTTCCCCAAATATATTTGATCTGCAATTGGTTGAACCCATGGATGCACACAAAAGCAAGCAGAATGATTAAATTATGAATATTGACAGTACAATCACAAGACCAAGTAGGGATCATCTCAGGAATATGCTAATGATTTTGTCTCAAGGATTCTATTAAGACAATAAAACATACTACTACTCCCACAGAGGGAAAACAGTCTGATCAGAGGATTTTGATGTAAATCCAACACCCTCATTTTTCCAAGAGAGCCTCAATAATTTGAGAATACAGGGGTTACTTCTTTATTATAAGGAAAATACATGTCTTTATAGAAGTTAAATTGTGTGAGACATTAAGTCATCTCATTCATGTCAAAAACAAGTATACCACCTGAATTGCTGTCACTTAACACAGTTCTCAAATGTAACTGGATGATAGAGAAAGAAGGGGGAAACAGCCATTTCTCAGTATCCATGGGGTGGGAGGGCCAGGACTCCTATGGATATCAAGATCCTGGGATGCTCCAGTCCCTCATATAATGGCATAGCATTTGCATGTAACTAATGCACAACCTTTACATCACCTCTAGATCACTCATCATACCTAATAAGATGAAAATGCTATTCTACTGTATTGTTTAGGGAATAATGGCAAGAAAAGGAGTGTGTACATGTTCAGTATAGATGCAATGGTTTTTCAAAAATTCTAATCTATGGGGGATTGAATCTGCAGATGGGGAACTCAAGGATACAGAGAACTGATGAACTGGAAAGGAGGAGTCCAAAGAAAATCTTAGAAACAATAAATATTACAACAATAGTGGTTGATTTTTGGCACTAACAAACAATAAGCTAATGTTTTACTATACATCCAGGCAGAAAATGAAATGGAGGAAGTCATTGAATTGAATATGGGGCCAAATGATAAAACATCTATAAGGAAGCAACAAGCAATTCAGAGCACCTGTGTGACATAAAATTACACTTGAGCACAACCCGACTGAGATATTCTTGAATAGGAAGACTCAATCTATAAATTCATTGTGATCCCATTTTTTTCAAGATGCGTGTATTTTTGAAAGAAGAAGAGGGAGTGTGTGTGCAGGAGGTTTTAACTTGAAACTACTGATTTTAATGTGAATAAAGCTTTAGAAATTAAAACCATTCTTAGATAATTCAATGGAACAGAAATAGAGCCAAACACTTAAAGAAACTTAGTTTATGAATAAGGTGGCATGTTGAACAAGTGGGAAAAAGACTGTCCCTGAATTAAAGAGTTGCATTATTTTATATTTTGTTGACACAACCGACCACCATTTGAAGGGAAAAAATAATCTTTACCTCTGCTTCCTGCAATAAATGAATTCCAGGGTGTTAGGAAGTGTAAAGATTAACAAATGAAGCCATAAGTTTTTGAAGAAAATATGAGTTAAGTTTATTCATAATCTCAGAATGGAGAAGGCCTTTTAAAACCAGAAACAAATCCCATATTGTACAAAGGAAATACAGATAATTTGATAACATAAAAATTCAAACCTTATATATAACTATATATAAGCAAATCAATAAATAACATCAAAAGACTAATTACTAATAGAATATTTTCAGGACATAAGACAGAAAATTCCCAACATGCACAGGTTATTAACAAATAAAAAGCCAAATAACTCAATTGATAAAGTGTAAAAGATGTTCACAAAAATTGAAATTGCCAAAAAACACTCGAAAAGGCGTTTAAGTTCACTCATAATAAAATGAACTAGAATCAAGATAACATTACAATATAATTGTTCAACAATCATAATTGGAAAAAAGTAAGTTTGAAAATGCCCAGTGCTTTACAGCTTAGAACTGCCCCTTTCCTTTGTCCTCTTGGTGGGGGTCCCAATTGCTCTGCTTCTGGAGGGTAATCTGGCAAAATCTATCAAAATGTCAAATGCACAACGTCTCAAATCCAGCAATTCCATTTTAAGTTGGAATTTATACCAAGACACAGTCACAAAAAAGTGCTGAGATACAGGTACAAGGATGATAATTATAGCTTTGTGTATAAAAATAAAACTGGAAATATCTATATGTTCACCAATAAAAGACTAATCAAATAAATTACAGTCCACTGAGACAATGGAATGCTAAGCAGCTATTAAGAGGAATGAGGTAGATCTTTATGCGTTATTATGGAAAGACCTCTAAGATAAAATACTAAGAAAGCAAGGTGCACAGTGCTTCACACAGCAGGGGGGCTAGAAGACTTCTCCATGTTCCTTTCTCTCTCTAGCCCCCTCCCCTTCTACCTTCCTCTCCAGAAATAACCCTAAAAGCTCATCCATGGCACCCTATGGGGAGAGGCCATGGAAGGCTGTTTTTCACCATTCATACTTTTCTAACTATGTTCACGTCTATTTCTTATTACATTTATAAATGACAGAATAGCTATTTGGGTGGTCAAAACATGAACTACTTTTGTTTGCTCTTTATGTTTTTCTGTGGAAAATACAAAACCAAAAAGGTTTTCCTTTTAAAGCAAAAATGTAGTAGAGATCAGTTCTTGGATAACAGTAAGAATGCAGCATTCGCTTTATATATCAAAACACTTGTCCTTATTCCTAAAGACACTTTAATGGGAGAAGAAAAAAAAAAACAGAATAGTGTGCATCATTCATCCACACCACATAGAACAGGTGATCCAGATCTGAGGAAGCCCTTGCTCCAAAAGGCCTTGATGCTGGGAGGTGGGGGGCCTGATTTACCAGCCTTCTTCATTTAAACAGGGCGCCCTCCCTCACATCACATCAACAGTGGCTTGTGCACATGGGCACACATGTATACACAGTCATACAGTCATACGTGCACAGAGAGCATGACAAGCCCCCACCTTCCTTCCTCCAGTGCAGATGAATTCATGTACATTACCCAGAAATGAATGAAATGGATGGCTGGAAAGATGTACAGTTTCCTTTCTCTGAAAATCTAATCTTCTCTCATGATGCACCCATCTTGGGAGTTGGAAGTAAATTAAAGATCTCTAGGAGTTCAGAAGCTTTCTGCAATTTTGAGCTGTGAGCTGTTACAAGATGACATAATAGAACAGCAGAAGTTTTTTCTTGGTCATTAACCTCTGATCTCATTTAAAAATCAGAAAATGAGAAGAGGCAAAGTGACTATTGTCAGCTAGATAATCTAAATGGAGCACCGCTACCTCTTAGGTTTAAAAATTTAAGTTATTCTTGTTTCCAAAACACATGTGCAGCGAACCCACCAGCTGATCATAAGCCAGCTTGCTGTGCTCAAGCTGGGACAGCTGTGGGGAAGCAGAAACCCAAATTGCTGGCTGTGCAATCCCTGATGCTCTCCGAGCTCCTTCCCGCTGACTGCACTGGTCAGGCATCCAATCAAGACACTGCCTACACCATCCCCTCCCCAGCTCCTGTCACACACGGGGCCATGGAGGTCCCTGCCCCCACCCTCTGGCCCTGACATATGGAGAAAAAACAGACAAACAAACAAACAAGAAACTTTCACTTTGTGTTGAGCCTTTGTATAGATGCACATATTCCTGAGTGGAATCTACACCAACACATGTGAAGCATCTAATGCATCACTATTTTCAAAAGAACACAGAAATGGTTTGAGTTAGCTTTAGCTATTCATTGGAGTTGGTAATTCCAGTAGGACTCAAGCCATCCTGGGGGCTCTACAGCACAGACACACTCAACTCCCCACAACCAGGGCACAGCATGTGAAGCTGGGGAGTCACCTGGTACCCACGAGATATACAGCTCTGCTCTCCAGGGTCTGGTCCTAGTTTAGAATCAACTTAAAGCTACATCCCTCTTATTCCCTTTACAGAGAACGTCTTCAGAAATTAGGTTGGTGAAAACAGTTTGCAAACCCAACCACCTCTTTCTGTTGCTTGTTTTCAACATAGAAACAGCAGAAAACTGTTGACAGGGGGGAAAAAGACAGACTGCAGAAAAATCAGTAGATAGGGTTTCAGGATTTTTCATTTTTGGTTTGGTTTCCTCTCACCAATTGTTAGAGTGGAATTATTGCATTTGGCTTACTGTTAGCGTCAGTCTAGGTTTATGCACAGGCACGAGCATACGCTGCAGTTTCATGTAGTCCTTCCTGGCAGGTGACATGCACACATGCAAAACCAACTCTACAGGCTGCCCCTGGCGATCCAGGTTTCTGGACCTCTCTGAAGGGCTCTCCTGCAAATGGGCAAAATGTTCAGTGGCCCTGCTGCATAACAACGTGTCAACGGTATCAGCCCATCTGAGGGCTTCAACCAACAGGTGCTGGGGTTGTTACTGAAAGTAATGAGGAAACAATAACCAACATGATTGACGGCTGTCAGGGAAGGTCAGAGTAGTCACATTGAATGCTTCTGAGGGATTAGCACCCCAAAGTCTCACTGAGCCAGCAACTGTCCACCTGTGTGTTTCAAACACCTACAGAACCACGCGAAGTCACGCGAAGTCTTTGGACACAGCCTCGACGAAGTTTGGAGCGGACATGAGGATGCCGATGGTGCAGATGATGGTGAAGACGGAGAAGGCCATGAGGCACAGGCGGTCCACCACGCAGGCCGCAAACTTCCACTCGCTGCACACCGCCTCGCTCTCGTCCTGGCAGCGGAAGCGGTTGGCAATGTAGCGCACCTCCTCCAGGATCTTGGCCAGGTCTGGGTCCCCCTCGGAGGGCTGCCCGCCATGCAGGAGATGCTCATCATGCGTTGGGGAGCAGGCTAGGCGGCCGCACACGACCCCTGAGTCGGGGGTCGGGGCGCAGTGCATCCCATCCAGCCCGCGGAAGCCGATGTACAGCAGGTTCCCATTGGGCGCCGGCGGCCCGACCCCAGCATTCAGCTCCACGCTGGCCAGGCTGCAGCGGCGCTGCTTATGTTGGCAGGCCGACCGGACCTTGTCCTCCCCAGGCCTCTTCATGCGCAGGAACCACGCGCACCAGTTCAGAAGGATGATTCTGGTCTGGGGAGACAACTTGACATTAAGAGCAGCCCAGATGCCAGCGAGCTACAGGGCAAGCACTGCTTAACTGACCCATGGTACAATGGGCTCCGTTGCCTCCCAGTATGTGTACGCATTGGGACAGCTGAGTTAAACACAAAAGGAGAACAAAATGTGCATAAAACCACTCTGGAAATGAGCTAAATGCTGGTCAGAGAAGACACATATAGGTTCAGGGAAAGCAGTCTTAGGGATGGAGACAGCTGTCTGCACAAGGGAATCCTATGAGCTGTGTTATCAGGGAAAAAAGTCACTTTCCCTCTATGACCCTTCCTCATCGGCAGCCAGAAGACCATGAGACCTAAACTCCTGCAGACTGCACGTCACACACTCTGGAAGGCTACAGCACACTCACAGGGGCCCTCAGGAAGATTCTAAATTTTCAGGAGCAACCCTGGTACACCTGCCGGACCCCCTGTGGACCACCGGCATGAAGCAGGCCACACCTGTGGTGTTAAGATGGTCACCTCTCCTGGGAAGAGAACATCAGCTTTGCAAAACTGTTTTTCAAAGGTGCTCTCATAAAAAAGCAAGTGCCAAGGATGTCAACATGAAACAGAGGATGAAGAAAAGTGGTCTCCAATTCTGAGACTGGAGAGGCTAGGCTGTGACCCACAGACGCTATGTCACTAAGACACAAACACCTTAGAAACTGCTTTGATCTATTTGGGTACACAGATTGTTACACAGCATTTCTTTTGGTCCAGGAAAAGTTCCCAAGACACTAACTTGTAAACCAAGGAAATTTAGAAACCTCTGGCATGGGGTTTCAATGAAGACCCAATAGGTTGCTACCTGGGAAGCACTTTGAAAAGTCGAAAGTCAACATTTTTGCTCAGGGAGCCATAGGTCCCTGTTCTAAGTACTCAGCTCTACTGATGTAGAACACATAGAAAGGATATAAATAAACATGCATGGGTGGTTTCTGATGAAATTTTATTTACCAAAAGGGTCAGCAGGCTGCATTCCACCACCTCATCCCTCATTTCCCAACCTCTGTCTATAGTGTTTTGCTAAAGAATTGTCTATATCCATGAAAGATAAAGAAAATCACCGTGTGGATTCACATCATTTTGGCTTCTCACAGAAAGAAGGAAGACAACTAAAGCCTCAATTCAGGAAAAAAAATAACTTAATTTACAAAGGCATTCTTGCAAAGCCTATCCAGAGAAGTGCATGAAAAGTAGGCCCTTTCCCTGAAAATTTCCAGATACTGATTTAATTTCCATTTTGTTTTATGATTATGAGATAATTCCACTGGCAAACCAGCCAGTATGTTCCCCTTCTGTAGGTACAGAGAGTAAACTGTGAAGTTCATGTCTGCAGGGCTTTCTTTCTTGGCAATCATTTTTATGACATCTTATCAAAGGTAACTGCAGCAAACAGCTCTGGAGACAGGTGACGGAAAGAAGACGGATATTGAAGATCTGCTCCCTTGCAGCTGTAGAGACAGCCCTTTGTTTCAGTGTGCACTACATGGCAGGGGGCACTGTGAAGAGTCAGGGCGTATCGACCCCGGAGGATTTTCACCATCAGCAAGTGGTAGGGACACATCCCTCTCATGAGACACGCCATCTCACTTGGGCCTTTCAGGGTTCTGTGAAGTGAGTATAACTCCCCCTCCCCATTTCACAAACTGAGGCTCAAAGAGACTGACACAGGGCTGGCATTGTGATGCACAGGGTTAAGGCCATGCATGCTATGCTGGTACCCCATATCAGAGTGCAGGTTTGAGTGCTGGCCACTCTGCTTTCCACCTGGCTTCCCGTTAATGCACCTGGGAAAGCAGTGGAAGATGGGCCCCTGCCACCCATGTGGCAGACCAGGATGGAGTTCTAGGCTCCTGGCTTCAGGCTGGCCCAGCCCTGGCTGTTGCAGCCAGTGGATCGGACATCTCTGTCTCTTCTTCCCTTCCTCCACAAATCTGCCTTATAAATAAATATTTTTAAAAGACTAATAAATAAGAACAAGCTCACGTAATGAACAAGTGATTAAATCACTTAAAAATGTGTTTAGACTTCCACAAATTCTTTAGTAAAAGGTTCTATTTCAAAATCCTGTGACTTTAGCCCAACCTCTTCTTGAAAGGCACCAGAAATCCTGGGCCAGATCCCCAGGGAGGCTGTGAGGCAGTGAGTATGTGGGTATCCAGAGGCAGTTTTGCATGCAAAACCTGTGCAGCACCAGGCCGTTCTGCCACTTGGGGCTACACACCCCTGGAGGCACATCTCAAGCTAATGTGGTCTACACTGCCAAGTCTATTTTGAATTCCATGGGTTGACTCATTAGCTTTGAAGGCCAAAGCATCTCAACAGATGAAATTATCCTCTTGGCACTTATCAAACTGTTTGTGACCTCTTCTGTTAGGTTGCAGTTTTGTTTCTGGCTGTGCAAATGTCATATAATGCCACTGCTCCTGGCAGTATCATCTTCATAGCCACAGATCATCATAAAAGTCCCTTGGAGGCTGTTTGTTTCAAACGCACATGGAACAAAAGAAAATGCAGTGTGCTATATAAAGTGAGAGATGTATAAGCTTCATACTTCATTTGCAGATAATTGGTTTTAACGAACTCTTACTATGGGAGGTAAGAATTAGCATATGCTCTTAATTAACGTTTTTCAGGAACAGAGAAATGCTACCAGGACATTAAAAGTGGTTATGAGTCTCTGTGCTTTAATCCCCTTATCTTTGCATCAGTCAAAATACTTATAAGAACTATGAATAGTGTTTATATTACTGTATTTGCATAAATAAATACTGGGAAGGAAAACAAAGAATTCATTAAAATTAACGTTGATAGTAGAGGAAGGGTGAGATACAGAAATTCCTTATATATAATTTTATTTTGACTTTTGAAACAGATAAAATACATAACCTTATCTGCTTCAGACAGGAAGATGGAAAGACAAAGAGATATGCACATAAACAAGGCCTCAGTTTGCACAACTGCTCTGCAACGTGCCTACGTGGGTTACAGTTATGAGAAAGCCATTCAAGAAGGTGAGTCAATGTATATGAATGTCTCACCCTTTTTAGGGGAGAGGAGCTTCTCAAAATAAGCAATGTGATCTGTGTGTAAGGTCTCACCATTTAGCCTGTGCTCCTGCCACTGTCAACACCCTGAACCAACACTGAGTCTTTGTGACGTGTACGAGGGCCACCTGCCATGGAAAGGGTTCTGAAAGGAGAGGGACACAAAGCGTTTTGAAAACAAACGTCTCTGAGCTAGCTTTCAGGTGATTGTAAACTACTGTACAATGGCCATTTCTAGAAGGCCTGGAAGCTCCCTGTTCATGGAGAGAAACTCATGCACCTCACACCTTTAGCTGCTTTTACCATGGGGGCAATTCTTAGTACCCCTTCTGCATTGGGATGTAAGCTAACAAGGCTCCAAAGACCGGCTTCTTTGGGGAAGAGAAGGCTTTTTTAGCTTCTAAGCATTCTGAGGCCTTGAAAATACGGAGAGGTGTACAGGGTGCTCCTGAGGGTCAGAGAGCAGGTAGCCCTTCCCCGCATGGGGTTTTGTCCCTGTAAGGTGGGGAAAGCCCAGGCCCTCACTTGGTAGTTGGAAAGCAGAGCTTCAGACACCAGACTCCAAAGGAACAGACCCTGTAGGTGGGTGGGTATCAGCAGACAAGGCCAAAGTCTGGCCCTCAGCAGCTCAGGAGTGGCAGGATCTGGGGTGAGGTCACGGGCTTGGGATTCCTGCATTTTTTCATTCATTTCCTTTTATCCCATCCCCCTTCACACTAGCAGCTGTTCACCTGTGCCACACAGGCTTCTGTTTGGATTATATTCCTATACGTAATGAATATGTGCATTTTTATATAACTCATTCTGTGTCTTGCTCTTTTCACTTCTCATTCTGTTGTGAAGCTCCTACTATCTTGCCCTGTTGTATCTCATCCAACACTTGCAGCTGCTGTGCAGCACTCCACAGTGCACATGCTCAACACTGTACTAGCAAAACGTACCAGGCAGCCAGTGCAGGAGCTGCTCTGGGATGTCTGACTACCACATAATACTGCTGGATTGTCAAGGAGCACACTTGCCATAACTTCGCTCTGTGCACAGACACACAGAGAGGCAGAGTTTGGTGAGAAAGCTTTGCGTTTGGAACAGCCAGTGTGAGTTTTTGAATGGCAACCAGGGGCAAGCCTAGTGGTTAAGATGCTGATTAAACAACCAACAAAAATCAATAGCCTTGTATACACAGACACTGCCTTAGATGAGAAAGACCTTCTAAGATCAATCCCATTCACAATAGCTACAACAAAATTTAAATACCTTGGAATAAATTTAACCAAGGATCAAAGATTTCTACAATGAAAATTACAAAACATTAAAGAAAGAAATAGAAGAAAACATAAATAAGTGGAAAAATTGTCCATGTTCATGGATTGGACGAATCAACATCTTCAAAATGTCCATACTACCGAAAGCAATTTTTAGATTCAATGTGATCCTAATCAAAATTCCAACAACATTCTTCTCAGATATAGAAAAAATGATGCTAAAATTCAAATGGAAACACAAGAGACCCCAGATAGCTAAAGCAATTTTAAACAATAAAAATAGAGCTGGAGGCATCACAATTACAGACCTCAGGACATACTACAGGGCAGTTATAATAAAAACAGCCTGGTACAGGCACAAAAACAAACATGCAGACCAATGGAACAGGACAGAAAACCCAGAAATTAGTCCACGCACCTACAATCAACTTATCGTTGACAAAGAAGCAAAAATAAGCAACCCCTGAAGCCAAGACTGTCTCCTCAACAAATGGCGTAGGGAAAACTGGATCGAAATGGATCAGAGACCAAACCTACAACCTGATTCCATCAAATTACTAGAGAACATTGGGGAAACCCTACGAGACACTGGCATAGGGAAAGACTTCTTGGAAAAGACCCCAGAAGCACAAGCAATCAAAGCCAAAATTAACAAGCGGGATTACATCAAACCGAGAAGTTTCTGCACTACAAAAGAAACATTCAGCAAAGTGAAGAGGCAACCAATAGAATGGGAGAAAATATTTGCAAACTATGAAACTGACGAAGGATTAACTTCCAGAACCTATAAAGAGCTCAAGAAACTAAACAACTACAAAACGACCTAGTCAATAAATGGGCAAAGAACCTGAACAGACATTTTTCAAGAGGGGAAATTCAAATGGCCAACAGACACATGAAAAAATGTTCAGGATCATTTGCTATCAGGGAAATGCAAATCAAAACCACAATGAGGTTTCACCTCACTCCTGTTAGAGTGGCTCTTACACAGAAATCAACATATAACAAACGCTGGCGAGGACAGGGGAGAAAGTACCCTAATCCACTATTGGTGGGCATGTAAAGTGGTACAGCCACTGTGGAAGACAGTATGGAGATACCTCAGAAAGCTGAATATGGACCTACCATGTGACCCAGCCACCCCATTCCTTATTCAAAGGAAACAAAATCAGCATATGAAAGAGCGATCTGTGTCCCCATGTTCATCTCAGCTTAATGTACAATAGCTAAGATATGGAATCAATCCAGATGTACATCAACTGAAGACTAGATAAAGAAACTATGGTATATATACTCTATAGAATACTATACAGTGGGGCCGGCGCTGCAGCTCACTAGGCTAATCCTCCGCCTTGCGGCACCGGCACACCGGGTTCTAGTCCCGGTCGGGGCACCGGATTCTGTCCCGGTTGCCCCTCTTCCAGGCCAGCTCTCTGCTGTGGCCAGGGAGTGCAGTGGAGGATGGCCCAAGTGCTTGGGCCCTGCACCCCATGGGAGACCAGGAGAAGCACCTGGCTCCTGCCATCGGATCAGCACGGTGCGCCGGTTGCAGCGCGCTGGCCACGGCAGCCATTGGAGAGTGAACCAGTGGCAAAGGAAGACCTTTCTCTCTTCTCTGTCTCTCTCTCTCACTGTCCACTCTGCCTGTCAAAAAAAAATACTATACAGTGGTAAAAAATGAAATCCTGTCATTTGCAACAAAATGGATATAACTGGAAACCATTATACTTAGGGATATAAGCCATTCACAAAAAGACAAATACCATATGGTCCCTCTGCTCTGTGGTAACTGAGTACCTAAAATGTAATCTATAGGAGCAAAACTGACATTTTGAGATGCAATGATTTTTACTTGCCTTGACTGTGGAGGAACAATATTTTGTTTGTTTGTTTGGTTTAGTTCTTTTCTTCATACTAATTGATAAACTCTCTACTTATTGTAGGGATAACCTTATAAGTATAAAAATTAACTGAAAATTGACCTCTGTTAAAAAAAATAAGAATGGGAAAGGAAGAGAGAGGGAGAGGAAAGGCTGGAGTATGAGTGGGAGGGAAGTAGGTGGGGAGGGGTCAGCATATTCTCAAATCTGTGTATATTAAATGCATGAAGTTGTATTCCTCAAACAATAAAAAAAGTTCTTCCCTAAAAAATTTCTGAGAAGATTCTGTAAGACCTTATACTGTATTACTATATTTTATTTATTTTAACTGTGATTATACATAAATGTGAAAATAGATTTTTTTTTTGACAGGCAGAGTGGACAGTGAGAGAGAGAGACAGAGAGAAAGGTCTTTCTTTGCCACTGGTTCACCCTCCAATGGCCGGTGCACCGTGCTGATCCAAAGGCAGGAGCCAGGTGCTTCTCCTGGTCTCCCATGCGGGTGCAGAGCCCAAGCACTTGGGCCATCCTCCACTGTACTCCCTGGCCACAGCAGAGCTGGCCTGGAAGAGGGGCAACCAGGACAGAATCTGGTGCCCCGACCATGACTAGAACCCGGTGTGCCAGCGCCTCAAGGCAGAGGATCAGCCTACTGAGCCGCGGCGCCGGCCTGAAAATAGATTTCTAAAAAAGGATGCTTATTTAAAGACCTGTGTCCCATATCTGAGTACATGGGTTTAATACCTGGCTCTGGCTCCTGACTCAAGCTTTCTGCTTAATGCACACCCTGGGAAGCTCCAGTTACTAGGTCCCTGCCACCAATGTGGGAGATCTGGACTGAGTTCCCGGCACCCAGCTTCTGCCTTGCCCAGCCTTGCTATGTGGCATTTGGGGAGTGAACACAGGAACGCACCCACTTGGGCATCTTGCCACCATCAGGGTCGTGGTGGTGGTACTGCAGCACGATCACGGTCACCACCACGGAGAGGCCCACGATGATCATGGTGCTGGCGAAATACTGGGCTGCGGAGAGACACACACAGGGTGAGACTGTGGCCACGTGGCACAAACACCGCGAGTTATGGTCCCTGACCGTTAGAGCCTGGGGTGCGGAGAAACTTGACCTGCTGGCTGGGCCGTTTTTGCAGCCTACCGCCTGCTGGGCATGAGGGCAGGTACGAGCGCAGGGTGCAAACACCTGACTTTGCATCTGCAGATGAGAATGGCAACCCAGAACTGGAAGAAGCCCACTGAAGCAGCAAAAGACTCAAGTCCCAAGCACTAGATAAAGCGTTGCTTCATATGCTTCCTTTTCCTCCCAGCCAGGAAGGAGGTGTCATCTCCCGTTCCCGTCACCCCTTCCTGTGAGTGGTTAGAGCAAGTCAGCTCCTCAGGCAGAGAATCAAGACACATCTGCATGGAGTAGCGCTGGGGACGCGGAGGCACTCCAACTCTGTCTTCAAGGGAGAGAGGCCCAAGTATGTCTTACCTATCAGGGGCACCGAATCGGATGTTGCGGGCATGATCTCGGCCACAAGCAGCATGAAGACAGTCAGGGAGAGTAAGACGGTTATCCCTGAAACAGAAACGCACAGCATTCCCTCAGGAAGAGAAGCCAACATGGCCCAAACCCCATCCAACAAGGAAGGGCTCTAACCTGAGTTTCAAAGAACTAGGTGCTGCTGGGAGAGTGTCATGGAATACAGTGTCTGTACATATGGGCTTGGGTGCTTTCAGGGGGGCAGTGCCACTAATCAGTCCCAAAATAGTCTCTGGGGGAGACACATTTGGGAGCCAGACCCTTACAAGATCAATACAAAGTGGACAACTTAACTTCCCACAATCACTTTTCACTTCCTCACATTATTATTGAGAGGTATTATTCATGTAGCAGGACAAAGAAATATGCAGTAATCAGAAGACCTGGTTTCAGATCCTGACTTTGCTACTTAGTAGCTTTGTGACCTTGGATAAGTCACTGAATGTTTCTGAGCCTCACATTTGTAAAATACAAGTTTGAGAATAATTTATCCCAAATACTAAATATCTCAGCTTTCTTGTCTTCATACAGACGTGATCAAAGGGAATCACACCATGTATGGCAAATGCAAGCTGAAGTTAAGTTACTGGTCACTGTCCACAATGAGTCTCCACCAAGGAACAGGGGAAAAAGCACAGGCTTCCCTGGGCAAAACAGAGCCAGACCTTCCTGGGTGTCCCCATCACCCATGCAGGATTGGAGGAACTGAGGAGCCTATGGTATGTCCAGGACAGTGCAGCCATCCTGCTTGGAGTCGGAATCAGGACTCTCTGGTGTCCTGGAGACACCCTGGATCAGGAAGCCCAAGTGTGATGGGCCCTGGGCCCCTTCATTGCCCACAGTAAGCCTTGCACGCATGACCCCCAGGAAAGGTCTCCACGCCCAGACTCTCATCAATGACCCCTAGGCACTTACCAAGGGAGATTTTCTCCCCGGAGTCTGCAGGGAGCAAGAACACCAGCAGGGCCAGGGCCGAGATGAGCACGCAAGGAATGAGCAGATTGAGGCCGTAGTAGAGCGTCCTGCGCCGCATGGTCACTGTGTAGGTGACGTCTGGGTATGGCTCTTTGCAGCACTCATAGAACTTCTCGCTCCTCTTGCCCGGAATACCTCCACAGGGAGGAGGAGGAAAGGAGCCGGTATTGGAATACACAGTTAGCCTGTTTATGTCAATGTGTATACCACACTTGGGCTCAGCCCTGAGTCCACTGAACTCTGAAACACTCGGTGGTCACCATTTGCATAAACCCTTGCTGGTTTATGATAAAGTTGTTAAAAGACTGTCACAGTGATAGCTGCACAAGTAGGTGGACAATCTTAACAGAGTGGAAATAAACGGTTATAAATAACACACTGTCAATTTTAAGCCATTATACATGTCATGGCTGTTTTTCTATTTAAAATAATCAAATCTAAGTTCCCATCAACTGAAGTTTGCTGTCCAAGCTGATTTTAGGAACACAGTGGCTCTGCATAGTGCAGAGGCGTCCACCCCAGCATGGACTTGCTGCAAGGTGTCCTCACCGTGGCACAAGTTTCTCAAGCAAAGCTCTGCATTTTCTAACAGCTTTCTATTTCTTAGCCTACCACTCTCAATGCAGTATGGAGAATACTGCAGACCTCAATGAATGCTCACTCTGCAAAGCACAGTGGAAAATCCTCAGTTTTACCCACTCACACAGAAAGCCAGCCTCTTTCTTCCAGGCTGTCAGCCAGGCGTCTCTGCGGGGCTTACCCACGAGGTCCCATTCCCCGTTGGGGATATAGCCGCTGACATCTGCCTCCTGCATCTGCAGGTCCAATGACCAGCCTCCGTACGACCAAGACCCAAACTTCAGCTTGCACTGCTGCACATCAAAGGGGAACCAGCGCACGTCGATGTAGCAGGAGCTCTTGAATATGCCTACACGAGTGATGGGAACAATCAGAAGACAGAGCCCAGGCTGACTGCGACGTGCTCAGAATTCACAGCAGTGCCTTCAGCCCAACCCACCCTGCCAAATCTCTCGCCCAGTACAAACTATGTCCTCTGACTGCAAATCTCTGGGAAAGCAGTGAAGCCAAAGCTTCACTGTTCTTTGAAATTCAAATACCATAAGGAAATGCTGTTGAAGAAGACTGTTCTGAGTGCTCTTTGCACAAAGAATAGCTCCACAAGGGCATTTCAAAAAGTTAGTGGAAAAATGGAATTAAAAGACAAGTTTATATAGAGCAAAGATGCTTTTAAATCCATGTATACTGTTTTTTCCATAATATGTATTTTTATGCGTTTTTTGACATCCATCTTATGTGTGGATGTCAAAAACTGCTTGTGTCCAAGTAAATAAACTTATTTTTAAGTTCCATTTTCCATGAACTTTTTAAAGAATGCTCATATAAATGTGCATTCACCATGAGCACCTTGAGACTCTAAATAATACAAGCAAGAAATGTGGAAAAAAAGAGTTTTGAGAGAAATGTTGAAGGGGTTAGAGACAGAATATACAAGAAGGTGTGTGTGCTTGTGCTAGTGAGGGGTAGGGTAGATGTTTTCTTTATGTTAAACATTTGGAAAATACTTGATTATCTAGAAATATATGTAAAGGAGAATATCAACTGGTTCAAGTTCTAGTTCAAGAATGGAACAAGAACTGATGGGTTAGGTTGAAGAGAGGGTGCTTGAATAGAACAGTTTTTTACTGAAAACAGCCAGCTGAGGCTAGGTCAAGCTGGAGGTACATTTTCCAGAAGGTCATGGAGAGGGGACCAGAAGAGCTCACTCGAGTTATTTATGGCCACGTGCTCTTCCTGGCCAAAGAAGGATGGGACCATGCTGAAAGGAAGCATAGTTTGAGTGTCCCAGTGCTAACAGGGCCCACCCTCTGTAAATTTCTGCTACTAAGTTCAACAAAGAAAAGAAAGAAGAGGGGACCTAGTGCCCTTGCTAATAGAAATCCCAGCCCATAGCTAAGTTGGGGAAAGAAAATAAACATTGTGTTCCTTCAGGTCCCTTTCAATAAACTTGGTAGCACTGCCGTCATGCTCACGGAAGCTGGAAGTCATTCCAGAAACTTTGCCCATTACGGAGTTGGATCCCCCAGACCCACGCGGTTACAAAAGTTACAAAATCCTGCAACTGTGGGACTCCATTTCTATGAAATGACTAAAAATAAATAAATAATAAAAATAAAAATAGAAATAAAAGAGGTGGAAAGCAGATCAGCGTGTGCCTGGGACTGGCCAGGCAGTTGGAATGAAGTGTAAACAGGCAAAAGGGATCTTGATGAGAATATTCTAAAACAAGACTGTGGCGATGGTTACACAACTCTGTAAATTTACTAAAAGCTGTTGAATCATGTACCTAAAATGTATGATATGTAAATTCTACCTACATAAAGCTGTTAAAAATAAAAGCATGGAGGGAGTGGGGCTGTCATGACATGATCAAGTCTTCATGCCAATGTTTATGCCCCAAATGTTCTTTTTAACCTGTGTCTCACTAAGCAAGGAGCGAGCCCTCTCAGAACTAACACTGGACTCTACCAGCACATGACCAGCTGTCCCCTAGTCAGGCAGCTCTAGACCTCTCCTGCCAGTGTAAAGATCCTCAGGTGGAGGCAAAATGTGCCCTGTCCTGACCGGCTCCCGGGGTCCGGCTGCAGAGATGGACCCCGAGGCGGCTGCTGCACGCAGATGGCTTGAGGGTTAGGGGCACTGCTCCTGTAGCTGAAAAGAATCTCAGATTTCAAAACAACCTGCAGCACAGATGACTACAGAGGTTGTTTTTTAAAATAGTCCTTGCAATGGAAGCAGCAAGTCCCAGGCCTGGTGAAAAAGAACACACAGGCATTGCAAACCTCCAGTCTGCAGGGCTTAAGGTCAGCAGGAAGTGCTGCGGGAGGGTCTGGGGAATGCAGGAGAGCAGGTGTTTTAAGACAGAGAACCAGAAATGCTGGACTTCTTGAACCCAAGCAAACACTATTGGGAGGGATGTATGTTTGACAGGTTCAATCACTCACTCATTACTGACTCTTGGGTCAGACATTCGATGGATTCCACAGTGAGCACACAAATTCTGCCAGGAGATGTTATCTGCTGCCAGGAGAAGCAGGTGAACAGCAGCCCAGGGGCCAAATCAGATTCACATCAAATCAGATGCACTGTGAGACGGGGCTGGCTGTGTGTGTGTGTGTGTGTGTGTGTGTGCAGGGGGTTGTAGAGGTGAGGCAGGGGTAACTGTGGATTGCCGATGAGCAGAAAATTAAAGAAAGCAAACAGTAGCAGTGCAGGAGCTGAAACCGAAAAAATGTAAAAATCTTACAAAAGACAAAAAAAAAAAATCACCCTGTTAACCCTTCACATCCCAACTGTTCATTTCTGTGACTATTTCAGTGAAATAATATTTATCTTAAAGTTACTATGAGTAGTATATTTATTGCTCAATTTGAGTCTTTATACGTGTCTTTAACAAAGGATGATGGGACACCATTATCTGCATGCTAAAACACATCCTGAATGTGCCTCAAAATCATAAAATCCTGGTTGGATTCCCCTGCCAGTGACTGCTCCTTGTACAACCCAGGGTTCGGTGAGCTTGACTACAATGACAGGCTGGTGGGAAAACAATCAAGTCCAGGAAATAGTTAACCACTGGGGAGTTGAGACTCTTTGAGGAACAAGTCACTGATGAGTCACTGGACCTTGTGCCTACCCCAAGAGTGCTCTTGAATGCATGCACTCAAAACACCACCCCACCCCCAAAACCTGGAGAGCAGCATCTGTCCAGGCACTCAGTCATGGGGGGAAAGAGGCTGGAACCGAAATGGAGAGGAAAGGGCCTGGTTTTCTGGCTTGCAGGGTAAAAGCAGAGTTGGGAATTCCCCAGCAAGAGAAACTCGCTTCAATTGTGGAACGAGTCTAAGAACACACGGCATGATAAGAACATACAACACTCACTGGTAAAGACAGCTCTAGCCTTGATTCCCAGACAAAAGAGGAAGCCTCAGGAAATACAGAAGAGGCAGAGTAGAAGGAAGGGGAGAGGGTGGCAGTGAACGGAGGCACAGGGCAGAGCAGGACCCCTCAGGTGAGCACCTGAGGACGGACGCCCACACCTGCTAACATAGGCTAGCTGGAACAGCACAAAGGACATGGCTCTTACCTGGAGGGAGGTACTGGCAATGTCCAGAAGAGTTCACCAGGACGTTGGTGTGGAACGTGGCATCAAACCGCTCATCAGCACTAGCAACAAGAAAGAGGATTTTGTGAGGCAGCACGACCACACTGTGGACTTCCCAGCATGTCAGCTCTGTCACGGCTGTGGCTGCAGGGACTTGAGAAGGGCTGTTTGCTTCAGCCACCCCACACCTGACCAGAGCACCGCCACAGTTCCTCTGGGAGTCTTCCCACAGCCCATCTTGAAAAGGCCAACATCTACCCTGCTTCAGATGAACTGTGGTGCATTGCATAAAGTATACAAGATGAAGCTCTTAAACAAGGTGCAACGTGAAAACAGTTTAGGAGGCCATCAGTAGACGAGAACTCCTAGTCCACCTGCAGGAGAACCAGGATGGATGGACGTGCTGCTCCCGCCTCGGTCCAGTGTGGCCTCCTGTGGTCAAGGCTCTAGTTCCAGCCTCTTGGATTGGGGCCAACACTGGGTTAGTGGATAATAAATCCTCTTGTACTTTTAATGACTGCAGGTGCAGGTGGGAACTGGGTGTCAGCAAAGCCCCAGAGGGACCTGGGTCCCAGTCACTGAAGACAAGAAGGAGTGTGGGTGAAGAATTAAGTATAAGTTCAAGCAAAGACACCCTGGAACTCTCCTCTGCCCATGTTTAAACTTCCTGCAGCCAGAAGTTACCAACTTGGATACAGATACACACACACACACACACACATCTCCTCTATAGGACCCTCACATCTGGGGTCCGTCACCACCTGTCATCATCACCCCAGGGCCAGGTCCCAGAAAACTGACCACAGCCCCTAGGCCCTGGAGCCCAGTGGAATCATTCCAAATGGCCAGTCCTAAGCCTGATGACCCTGCCTTGCCTGTCCCCACTGGATTCATGATAAAGGCTCTTGCTCGCAATTTTTCTCATTCCTCCTCTCGCCTCTGGACGGACCCTGATACCTTTGCAAGTGGCCCTGCCCACTGTGTCGTGATTCCTATTGGCCAGGGAACTGTAACAACTTGTCCCTTCATGACAGTCATTTCTGATCATGCTCAATTACAACAAAATGCTAGTTACCTTTAAAACACAACCCTACATGTAAATAAATATAAACTACCTCAAGAAAGCATGGGCAGCCAGTCAAGGGGCCTGTACCTCCAAGTAAAGTTCTCCTCATTCTGGCAGCCAGGAGACCCCTTAGAAAGGGCAACTCACATCAGCAGAGCCTTGGGAGGTCTTCCTATGTCTGACACCTTCTCAATGGAAACCTCAGAATCACAAGATGAGGACAGCATTCAGCATGAGACACACACAGGCAAGGGGAAACATCATGAAGTTGCAAAATGAACAAGAGGAACCAAAAATTACTCCTTACGAAACTAAGATCCCCACGAAAATGCAAGCAGACACTGCAATTGTAAAAAGAGCAATATGAAAATTAAGATATGATTTATGAAATAATTATTCATAAATGGGTAGGGGGTTGGTTGATAAAAATCACACAGATGACAATTAGGACAGAAACAATGAGTGCCAGAGAGGACAGGGCCAGGAGAACTCAACTGATCAAGTAACAAAATTCTTATCAAGAGCAAACAGGCTTAGTGGGATGGGGAGAATTCCCAAAGAAAAATGACATGGAAATTTTCCAGAGTAGAAAGAAACCATCGGAGCATGAAGGCCAAGAAAGACATTCTTCAGGAGGTCTAGAAAGGGGAGGGTCCGCGTGAGAGCAAGCAGCTATGGGTCCTCTGAGGACAGGATGCACAATCCAGTGGATTCGGAGCCAAAGCGGGGGATAACGAGCTGAGAGTGCCATGGATTTAGAGACATATTTTTAAAAAATGTATAGTAAGAAAAATGACAATCAGAGTCAAGGGAAAAAGCTATACAAGGAAGTCACGATGTGCATATGAAACAAACAAAAATGTAACGAAGTTTAAAGGGAGGGAGAGAAGATAAAAGGGAGGGAAAGAGGAAGAACAATCAGTTATTAAAGGACAGTAGTCCACGGAGACAATGACGCAGCCACCTGTTGGGGGACAGCAAGCACAAGGAGAGGCAGGGCACGGGAACTCTTCCTCAGAAGGTCGCCGGCAAGTTCCCTGTGTCTCTTTTACTGGCCAGGATTACATCAGCCATTTGTACAGCACAAACCAGTGCTCTTCTAACTCTAAGATCACTTGCAGTGTTACCTGATAATCTTCAGAACATGGCTGTCAAGACTCGGTTTCCTAGATAAGCAAGTCTGGGAAAGCAGCTGCATGTCCTCGTGGGAGCCCGCGTTCCCATAAGAACTCAATGCCCTTCTTGTTAACAGGCGATCTACCAGCCTAACTCAGTGCCTGCGGCCACACCCTGTGTCCAGGAGGAAGCGTCCTCCCTGAGAGTGCTCTGGCAGAAGCTATGTTCCCTACACCACCCCTGTACTTCCAAACACACTCAGGGCAAAAGAGAGAAGGGAGGAGGGTCATGATGTAACTACTCTTTGCTTGAGTGTCTTCTGTTCTGATTGGATTAATCACAAACAGGACAGAGCACAGGTTATCTGAAAACTCACTCTCCAGAACTCACCCAGGAGAACACCAGGAACTTCCAACTACGTCCCCGGAACCTTGCAATGCTGTACGGACACTTCAGTTCTGCAAGTGTTTGATTTAAAAATTTTGTTTCACTCGCATTTTAAAATGTTGATAGAAGTCAACACATTCAAATGACTGACAGAATTTTAACCCTTCAGAGACTCCCAATGTGTTAATGTGTGCGGCCTGCTTAACTCCCTTTTTGAGGTTGAATTAAACTCCCCTTGCCATGAATGTGCATGTATGTGAACGTCTTAGAAATGATTCCAGCTCTGCAGTGTTCTTTTTAAAAGTTCAAGCCATAATTACCCGGCACTAAGACTGCACGGGTTCCCACCATGTCCGTGTCCATGGCAGCAATAATATCAAGTGTGGCCTCGTGTATCTGAGGGACACAAGGTTGTGCTTACTTAAGCTTTGGTTTTTCCTGTCTGATTTTTAATTTATAACACATACTGTGAGCACTTGTTAGAGCGGGGATTCAACTCTGGGAAAAAAAATCACAGTTCCAGCTAACTCCAAGCATTTGGATCAATTTAATTGAAGAGACTCTCAAGATCACAAGGCGGACGGGTAAAAACAAGATTAAAAAAAAAAAAAAAACTGTTGCTATTGGCAACAGCTTACCTATGTGACTCAGTGATTTCTGAATATTGTTCATCTAAACAGAATATTGAGATACATGGAATTGCAGCATGGTCACTGTTACCAAAATTCAAATCTTAAGATTCATGATGGCGGCTGCGTGGCTTTTTCCCATAGACAAATGGACTTTATATATAAACAATAAAAAAGGAAACTCTTGTAATAGATTGGTGCTAACACTGCTTCGTCTGTTTTCAGTACTAAAGCCAGATGCAAGATGTGTTTGAAAAAGGGCCATGTTACAAAACAACAGTTGGAAAACAGCTCTCTGAGGCAGGAAATGAAGTCCCTCGGAAACGGAGCAACCAAAGCCCCGTGAGGACCTGCACGCTGGGCTCTGTGCACAGGGGGACATCCGAGCCGTACCAGCGCACACTGGACACAATGTCGAGTGAGGACGCAGCCCTGCAGCTGACAGGTACTGATAACCGTGGAGAAGGGACAGGTCCACAGGGATTCCTCCTACTCCTGTCTGCTTTTGTGTGTATTTGACATTTTCTGTATTAAATCATGTGAAAATGGTTAACTATTTTTTTGTTGCATCTGTGGGGTTCCTGAGGATTCCAGCTTGGTTCCCTTCACTCTCTCTAAGCACCCCATTTCTCTGGCTGCCTCTGTCCTCTTCCAGCCAGTGATGACTGAGGACCCACGGTGCTTGCTCTCAGGGTGAGAAGAGCTCTGAGCCCCACCCCCACCACTGATGGGAAGGCAAGGGCATTTGTAACTCAAATATTAACATGCATGATTGGGGCCGGTGCTATGGTGCAGCGGGTTAACGCCCTGGCCTGAAGCGCCGGCACCCGATATGGGCACCAGTTCTAGTGCTGGCTGCTCCACTTCTGATCCAGCTCTCTGCTATGGCCTGGGAAAGCAGTGGAAGATGGCCAAGACCTTGGGCCCCTGCACCCATGTGGGAGACCCAGAGGAGGCTCCTGGCTACTGGCTTCAGATCGGCAGAGCTCCGGCCATTGCAGCCAATTGGGGAGTGAACCAGTGGATGGAAGACCTCTCTCTCTCTACCTCTTCTCTCTCTGTGTAACTCTGACTTTCAAATAAATAAATAAACCTTTTAAAAATAAATAAAATAAATAAGGTAAATCTTTAAAAAAAAAAAAAGAAAAAGAAAAAAAGATGCATGATCTATGCCCCTAAAGGATGAACAGGAGGAGAGGGCACCTGGACAGGTTCCAGCAATGGGCAGAACTCCCACAGGGAAAAATAACAGTGGGCAAGGCCCCTGGTAGGCACAGACGAATCACAAACTTGGAGGAAAACCAGTATGAGGGAGAGTCTTCAGGGAGATGTGGTTTGCTTGCACCCTGAGGTGACTGAGATGTGGCCCTAAGCACTGAGGCCAAATTTGGGAGCAAGCTTAGGGTGGCTGTGCCAAGCAAGGCTCAGGGCCCCAATCTGTATGGATGTAGCTGTGCACTCAGGCATCAGTGGTAACAAAGACCTCAGGGACAGGATGCAGGGCATAGCTGAACCCTGGGGTTCTGGGCTTCGGCCTTTACCTCCTCTGCATCCCTTGAGGTCCATGCAGTGCCTGGTCCCGTACCTGTAAAAGGCTGCTGGCCCATAGCAAGAGCCTTCTGATCCCAAACTCAGCAGAGCCTCCTGCCTCACCCCCTCTGCAGCACTGATTCCCACCTCTGAGCATGGAAGGGAAGGAGATGTAACTGTGCCATACAAACAGGAGTCCAGCTGTCGGCACCCTGAGAGAAAAGAACAGAGCAGACAGACATGCAGGAAACCAGGCAGGAACAACTCCCAGCTCACCAGAACGAGAATCTGCATCCAGAAACAGATGAAGAATGCAAAGAAAGAGAAACCCAGA